ACATCTAATATGCATAATGAAGTATGGAATTTTTAAATCATTCACAAAGCAGTAAACATTAAAAATATCTTCAGAATTGGTAGAAAATCGAATTGAAATTTGTATCATTTTTATGCATAATATATACAGACTTATTTGTTTATCGCTTAAAATCATATCTCTAAATATTCCTTAAATACTTTTTCCAGTGTGTTGCTGGACAAACTTTCATCAGAACCACCTAATCGAGCTGAATTCTTGGTGCCTGCAATTGTGAGCCAGGGAATTTAATATCTCTTACCAGTATTTGCAATTATTTGGCGTTGGGATCTGCCCTCTTTCCCCCCTCTCTTGACGATCCTCTTGGCCACATTAACCAAACCTCATCGCTCAATGTGTCAATTTTCAAGGCAGGACACTGAGCTGGGGAGGGAAGGGGAGGCAGGGCCGGGAAGAAGTAGATGTTGATGCAGCAGCTACTGCAACCAGATGTGGCAAAACAAAAGGCAACATCAGCCAGCGCACAGACACAGTTTGCCAATGACAAGCAAGCCGAAGACAACACAACACGACTGAAAATTGACTGCATTTTCCCCCAGTTTTGTTTGCACAATTTTCAATATGCATTTTCCTGCAGCTGCAGCTGGATAAAAAAACAAAAAATCATACACAAAAAGACAACAATAAACGAGGAGCTGAGCAACAATGAAGCTGTTTGCCTGTCTTGTTTCATATCTCTGGGAAAACTGTGGCAAACATAACTTCCGCCCCCCGAATTCCCTGAATCGCTTAACCGCAGAGCTAAAAACTGGCAAAACGAATGGCAAAACCAATTGCTGCGAATTGCGGTCAACAGTTTTGATTGTTTTTGTGGCCAAGCCAAGGGTGCTCAGCCTATGTCCCACCCCAGCCACCCACAGGCCCCTGATATCTGCTGTCTTTCTGTGGTAAACAATGCCAGTGAAATACTCACATTCCAGCAGCTGGCGGGACGCGAGCACTCGAACAGGAATCAAACAGAAACAGTCGGAAATTCTCCAGTTCTCGTTATGCACTTACAATCAATTTGCGGCCATAAATTCAGCTGCCACGCCCAGGCGGGACCAGCAGCCAGGAGCCTCTCCGCCCCCCGGATTTTTGACGCATCTTGTGCACGTCTGCGTGCGAGGCAAATAAAAACCAGGGAGAACCCAAAAAAAAGAAACACATAGCAAACATAATGGCGACGCTTTACAACCCTTTGCTGCAACAAATAAAAATTTATGACTCTGCCAAGAGCGGAGCCAAAGTAATGTGTATGCTTATGGCTGTGGAGCAAATGGTGTAAGAAATGGTGCGAAATAAAATATTGGCTAATAATCGCATGATAATGCCGAAGGATTTGGTCCGCCGGCCTGCGGCAAAAGTTCTCACTCGGGGGACACGTTGCGTATACGCAATCCATTCTCCACTTTTTTGCGGGCAGTTAATAATGCTTTGGTTTATGGGGGAGAAGGCGGTGGGCGGTGGGTGGTGGGCGGTGGTGGGTGCCGGTCGAAGGGCAGGCATTAATAATGACAACTCGTTTATGGCCGCATCAAAATGGAGCTCAAAGCCCAGCACTCAAACTCGCCCTTCGCGCTTTATCCTAATTGCACTGGAGTCCCCGAAGCCGGAGAAAAGCTCGTGTGTGTGCGAGAGGAACTACGGGTGAGGGAGTAGCTCCTCGAGGGTATGGGTGTATGGTGTACGGTGTATGGGTGTTTGTGTTTGCGTGGCCCGGCGGCAAAAGTCTGATAAGCTGGCAGTTCACAAAAAAAAAAACAACAGCAGGCAGGAGAGTGTAAGGAAAACATTGCAGGAGTTGCATTTAAGTGCAGTTCTCACATCCTGCATGTCCTTGGCTTCAGCCGAGGTGGGCGAACGGCGGCGTTCGAGTAAGTGCCTATGGTAACTACAGCCCCTAAGTGGAGTGACGTAAAACTTATCCCAGGCCTTATTATCTCCCAGATAGGGCATGCACCTCTGCACGAGGGGTTGAGCCTTCGTCCTGGCTGTGAACTTAAAAGAAACTCCTGCAACCAAAGCTGCTGCAGCTTTAGAATATTTTTAAAACTATTTAAGTTTGATTTGAAGACAACATAGTATTTTAATTATATTTTCTGCTTCGAGTATGATAATAATTGATAACAATTCTGATTTTCATAAATAATTTAATACAAGTTGTAGTATTTCGACAACTTCATGTCTAAAACTATTTACCTCCGAAGGACGGCTAGGAACTTTCCTAGAGTAGGATACAATGAATCCATCCACTCTCCATGGCAGATCCATCCCCTTCTCTGACAGAGTAACTTGGCTTCGGGGTGGCCCGTTTTGTTGTGGCTTCCAGGACACGGAGTTTCGCCGGCTGATTGCCGCTGTTGCACCATCTTTGTTGCACTGGCGGCGCTTCGGAAGTGCAACTTTCGCCCAAGTGGCAACTTTTAACGCTTTTAGCTGTTGATAGTGGTCGGAAAAGTTTCGGGCCAACTGTTATCGCCGCGTTGCCGCCGCCCTGAGCACGTGCAAAAGGCTCTAATTATGACACAAGAACTAGTCCCCCGCACCGCTCTCCCAACTATTTAGCCCATAATTGTTCCAGAAATCGTTTGTTTACGCTTCACTTGCCAGCTTTTGCCACCTCCACTGAACATGTTTTCCCCCCGTTCCTTGCCCTCGAGCCATGCATTTTTCATGGCATTTGTCTGAAGCGTTTTTTTCCGGTCTCGGGCACTTTAAAGCCGTTGGAGAAAGGAAAACAGAAACCAGAAAAATAGAAAATACAAAACAGAAAAGTAAAAAGGCAAGGCAAAAAAAAAAGAAAAGAGGAAAAGCGAACACATTTCAAAAACATAAACGCACAAAATGTGTCAACCGCAATATGCTCGCTGTGTAAACAGGGCCGAGGCGGGCACATGCGGAAATCACTAAAGGCACTTCCTGCACCAGCAACAAATGCTATAAAAATCATGAAAGCAGAGCCTCAGACCCGTTCCTCGAGACTCACCTATAGAGCACATATATATAGATAAGCCGGGCACGATAAACTGACTTTAGACTGAAGACTGGAGCCGAGGTCAATGGGTCGCTCCCGATGTGGCGGTGGGTTGTCGCTTTTCTAGAGGAAAGAGATGATCACGTGAAGTGTAAGGAGACGTCAGCTTTACAAGGATCTTAAAAAGGATTTAATAAAATTACAGTCCCTGGAATATATAGTTCGTTATACTAGGTTTAGTTCTCCTAACCTTTATTCACGTTTATTCACGTTTATAAACAAGGTAAAGACAAGCCTCATGATATATATTATTTTAATCTTAAACTTCAACAACAAAATATTTAATTTATTTGAAAGTTTTCACCTGAATTAAATAAAGTTTGATATATATTAATACAAACACAAAGAATGCCCTGAGCGAGTGCCCGTTAAAGTTTACTGCGAAAGCGTTCATAGAAAAAGTTTTGGTCTCGGACATTTCATCGCATATGTCCTGTGTGTGTGCACCTCTGGCTAAGATCCTGTTTCTTTACTATTTCCCCGCTTTTCCCGCTCGCAGATGTCAGCCATACTTGTCATAATACGCACACAACCATACATATACATATATGAGAGAAGGCATCAAATGCCGCAACACTTTGGATCTGAGTCGGGCATTCCGCATGCCACAAGCAAACACACTCAAGCTCGAGACGGGGTCTCAGGATTCTCCCCGCTTGTGTGTGGCACATTTCAATGGGCACACACACACACAGCAGCAGCCATGGCATAGCATCTCCTCTCATTCCGGGCTCAGCCATGCAAAATATGCCAGCATTATAAAACTTCAATCTACTCTAAAGAACTTGTTTATGCCCGATTCGGATATCGACAGACAAGGATTGGAGTGGGGCCGGAGCTCAGAGTGGGATGTGGAGCTAGCACGCTTTTTGACATCTTAGCCAGGCCAAAGCACTTTGCATAGTTTGAGCAACCCTATTTAAATCCGAAATCCAAGCCGAGATAAAATATGGATTGATTCGCTTCGGTGACTCACAGGTTATTCAATTCACGTAGATATGAAATATTTGACTATTAAGAACTGTCTCTCTCTCCCTATTTCAAAAATATTAAATTATGCTACAAATATTTCTTATAAATAAAAGCAAAGGAAAAATGTCACAGAAAATACAGAATTTCCTTTGCTTTAGTAAGTGAGAGTAGTCTTAGTAATCCTTTTTAGGTTGTAAATAAAACTAATTTGATACTTCTTTTCTACAATAAATTCTTGAATTTTAGAAACACAAATGAAAATTTTAATGAAAATATTTTAAAATCGCTCAATGGCTTTAAAACCTTAACTTTCCTTTAACCGACAGCTATAAGCTTTGATTCCAGGAATAAATCGCTTGTCTCCTGTCACTCCCACACTTGCCCGACGTCTAACACACACTAAGCTCTGATTTCCAATGTCCGATAAAGTGCTAGAGTGTCTGTGGGTATCTGTGGATTTGCACACCGAGATGGCGATCAGTGGAGTATTTACTTTTGTATGTTTTCATTTGGACTCCGGGCGATGTGAGACTATTCTGTGAACCACTGTAGGTGGACAGGGCGAGGTGGCGGGAAGCCCGGACAGGGATAACAGTAAAAGTATGTCTAACCCCCGTAAGCTTGTTCTACTGCTACAAAGCACACATAATGTTGTGAACAAAGGAATAAAAAAACTATGGTCAGAGCTAGTCAGGGAAAACCAAAACAGCTTTGAGCATAGCACAATGTTGTTGAATTTGCCAGTAATTCCCTGTTATTATAGTATAAATCCAATGAACGTTTACTGAAAGACTTCATATTTTGTATAATAAAATGATAATAATACCCTCTATTCGCTAATAAATGTATTAATATAATCAACATCCAATCATCCATCGCCTAAGCAACCATTTCCCATTGCACAATTATACAATTAAGCCTTAAAAGCCTTCTCAAAATATTAAATTTCAATACGCAAATAACACACTTTCAATTTATAGTTTAAACAACTCAACGTTTTATTTCAACGTATTAATTACAATGTAAAGTGTAACTTTAATATATAGTCTTATAATAAACTTAAGTTTGGAAACCGTAAATATTCATACATAGATACATATATAATACAGTGTTATGCAATACAATTGCTTTAAGTACAAAACAAATAAATTGTTTGCATTTTCTTTTCTCAGTTTATTTGGCACAAAGGACTTCGCTCCTACCAGCTAAGGAATTTTCCGAGTTTTTGGTTTTTATGTTGCCAGCCGTATGGGGGTTTTGGTTTCGAACTGGGATCAGGGGAAAATATTTACAATGAGAATGCAAAATGTCAAAGTTGCATTTGCATTGAATAAAACATAAAATAAATCTGGCCTGCCGAGAGGGGGAGAGCACTTTAAGAGCATTTTTGTTATAAGCACACAAGAATACCAAAGTTGCCTCGGCAACAGAAAAATAACCAAACAAAAATTGTATTTCTATTTATTTTGTTTGCCTCGCCCCGTCCGGCTCCGCCCCCTTAGTTTGTTTTGTTTGCCTGAGTGGAAATATAAAAATTACTTCGTTTACATCCAGCAGCAAGGATAATATCGTAGCGAGGGGGTGGAGAGGCGGGAGCGAGGCCAAACGGGTCACGCAACATCCTAGACAAAGTAATAACACTTGACGCACGTCTGCGTTTCCGGCTTGTGTCCGGCCAAAGGACGTGTCTGCACAGAGAGAAAATATTTGCCAAATATTTGTGAAATTCTAGGTATTAATATATGGTACATAATTAAGGAGTTTCTTAAGGAAATTATGGTATTAAATTTAAATAAAATATAAGTAACAAACAGGCTCTTTAAGGTATAAACAATATAATTTATAAATTGTGAGGCTGTGAGTTACTTATATTTTATTAGTATTGTCTTATTACTTTGAAGATTAATAAACTTTTACTTGATATTTGTAACGTTTTGTTAATTTTAAATAATAACTATAATAAATTTTGAGAAAAGTATTGTAGAATATGGCTTTATAATAAATGTTATATGGTTGATAAACATAAATTGAAAGCCATATTGTTATATTTTCTCTCTGTGCAGCTCGGGCGGGCACTCGAACTCTTTCATCCGTCCAAAAACCTCTGCTCAGGTGGTGAAAACTAGACGAAACTCTCCTGACGTGTTAAATTGAATTTGAGCAGCGTCGACGAAGACTTGGCCTTGGTTTTCGAGTTGACGCTGGAACTGGTCTGCGTTTGGGCCTCGGGCGTCTGGTGGCCACTGGAGAAGGAACCGATTGGCGTGGGAGTGGCCAACAGCTGCTGCTCCTGCTGGTGGACGCCGAGCAGTTGTCGCGCCAGCTGGGATATATCCCTGCCGTGGCTGCTGTCCAAGTGCTCCTGGGGAGAAGGCAGAGTGGTCGAGGCTGCTTGAGGCTTGAGGGCCAGGGATTGGCGCAGCAGGTCCGGCAGATGCCACTGCTCCAGGAGCTCCGCTCCCAGCGTGGGCGAGTCGCTGGCCAGGCGCGTCAGCGTGTGCAGGATGGTCTTGATGCTGCGGCGCTGGGCATCGCTCTCCGCACGTGAGCCGTAGGTCTTGTAGAATTCCGTTTGGTACACGGACGTGATGAAATTTATGATGACGCCGTTGGCCAAGTGGCTGTGGCACTTCTTGTTCAGCGACATGTTGTGCAGCATCCCAACGATTTGCTCCTGTGCGGATGAAATAAAAGAGAGGGGAGGCAAATGTTGATGAGTAAAAAATAAGCAACTCAAAGTGGGTCGGATGTGTGTGTGTGTGTGTGTGTGTGTGTGTGTGTGTGAGGCCTGGCCAAATGAAAAATCGTGGCCAAGATTGCGAAAAAATTGCTTTGCAAATGCACAAATAAATTTTACGAGCCAGCGCCCCGAGAAGCTTTCAATAAAATTGCCCAAAAAATTGCAGGAAATCGATTCAGGCGGTTCCAAACCAAGGTCAGGTTTGAGCACACAAAGATATATAAGGATACGGGAACGTTTATATCCTTCAATAAAAAGAGGCCACATCTTTCAAATTGTCTATATTAATTTATAAATATTTCAGGAATTTCATTTTAATTAAGTTTCATTCCGGAGATAAGTTAAATTTGTGATTACTAATATGTGATTGGTGATTACTTTCAATTCAATTTAAATTAGTTGCCTTTTTTGCATTGTAATACATTTATAACTATCCAGTAAATTTGTTTATTAAGAGAATTTTAATTGTTGATTGCAATGCTGCCCATGGAGAGGGTAATTTATGTCAGGAAATTAAAATTTTATCGGAAAACTGCCTGGTCTGTTGGGATTTTGTGTGATATTAGCTAGAATTTAATAACGAAATTTATGGAAAATATTTGCCTTTTCTTCATAAATTAGTAAATGAGCTTAAACTTTTTAATTTAGCTTATTTTTGTACGGGCATTAAGCATAATAGATAACCTAATATGTGGTATTATCTGAACCATGTTAAATTCTATTATTTAAATTATAAAATAAACACATTTCCAGAGCTACTTACATAGAGAAAGACACTGGTGCCGCAGCTCTGGTGTTCCAGGGTGTCAATCAAGCGGAATATGGCCTCGTTGGACATGATGGAGTAGTGTGACGTGGCCTCCATTCGGCTCAGATTATTTAAAGCAGCGGCGCAGAGGAGCAATGTCTGGGCACAGCACTCTGGCTGCAAGAGGGCAGCCAATCCGGCCACCAGGCTCTCGGCGCAGTCCCTCAAGCCTGGCACTCGGTGCTCTGGTCCATGCCAGGCGGCGGTGATTTGGGCCAGAAGCGACACCGCCTCCCTACGCTCAATGGGTCCTCTCTCGCCCGCGGACTCCACCTGGAGGATGTCCCTCACAATCTCGATGCCGCCACAGCTGCCCAGCTGATTAATGGCCTGGAGAGCGCAGCATAGAGTAGCCAGAGCCCGGAGAGCCAAAGCCCTGACGGAGCTCTGTTTGTGATCCAAAACAACCACTAACAGAGTTCGCACTGCCTCGTTCTGGACAAAGGCATCCGACAACGAAGCAAATCCATCGTAGTCAATGTTCATCAAGGTGGCCACCATATTGATATTGGCCCTGAGCAGCAGGTCACAGCGACTCTGCTCAATGCTGATCACCAGAATGCGAACCAATCGCTCGAAGATCAGGCGCAGCGTGATCAGGGTGTGCCTCTTCAGCAGCTGCACATCGTCCAGCAGGGACTCTAAGTTGATGTAGTGTTGCCGCTCCAAGGAGTACCTCGTGTCCTTGCTGACCGTCCTGATCTGCTCGAGATGCTGCTCATAGCGCCGCCTCTCGATCTTGGCATCGTTGAAGAATATGGCACGGCGCTCCAGCGTGCAGGTGAAGTCGTCCAAGTGGGAGAGCAGCTGTGTGGCTCCGGCAAGGGCCTCCGGCAGGGAACTGGCCTGCAGTCCGCTGAGCACCCGCTCGCTGCGCTCAAAGTGCAGCTGGAGCGACAGAGCCTGCTGCTGCAGCTGGCGGACCAGCTTGCAGACCGCACTGGTGGTAATGGTGTAGTTCTTGTACGCCTCCTGGGCAATGGATTTGTGCTGAAGGGTGCACATCACCTCTGGTTCTCCGGCCCAGCGTTGCTCCTGCATCCAGCTGGCCACGGGTTCGGGGTGTTTTCTTGTCTTCTTTGCGATCCTCGAACGACTCTTAGGCGTACTAGTGCTAGCCGTGAATCGCAAAGCGCTAACTCTCAGGGGAGAGGGCTGCGGCTGGATTGTTTCGTCCTGTTCGGTGGTGCCAAAGGTCACGGTCTCGTTGTTGTAGGGCGGTGGTGCCTCGCCCAAGTAAACGGTCTCATTATTATAGGGAGGCGGTGGAGCAGAAACCTGCTCCTGCTCCTCCTCGCTGGCCGAACCCTCTTCCGGTTCCGGTTTGGCTTTTCGCATAATTCGCCGACGGCGTCTTATCGCCGGACGTGGCGGCGGTGAACTCTCCTCCGCCGTCACAAGCTCCGCCTCATCGTCCAGCTTCAAGCTATTCAGCTGCTCAAAAAGCCGACTGCGGCTAGCCGCCAACTCGGCGTCCACAGCATCCTCCTCATCGTCCTTGTCGGATTTCGCCTTTGGTGTCTTTTGGCCACTGGTGAATGAAATCCGGCGAGAAACACTGATCAGCGGTGAGTAGAAGGCTGAGTTACCCACGCGACGCACCACAGTTGGGGGCGTGGCTACCGAACGCACCGAGGTGGGCGTGGCCGTGGGCGTTTGATTGTCATCTGACTGAGGCGATTGCGGGGACTGTGATTGCTGCCGATGCTGCAGCTGCTGTGACTCCTCATTGTCCGAAAAGCCTGAATCCTGTGGAAAAAAGATATAAATTAGCATATTGAAGGAATTTAGGTAAAGGTATTTAAGTTCATTATTATATCATTCCAAAATCCATACTAATATATAATGAAAATCTGTCCAATTATTGTAGTTACATATATCCTCTTAAAGCTCCCACTAATCGGAGCTATCTTCAAGTTAAATTAGAATAACGCCACGGGATATATAGAATCAAATGGACTACATGAATATGCTCACCTGACTGCGCAGACTGCCGGGACTATCGTGCTTGTGCCAGGAGAGCTTGGAGCTATTCTGCTCGTCCTCCACCTCCTGGATGCAAGAGAGATTGCCCAGGGCGCCGAGGGAGGTGGGCTGCCTCTGTGCCCCTGCCGAGTAGCTGTTATTGAAGCTCGAGTAGAAGCCGCCGCTGGTCAGGGAGGACTGCTCCGAGCCCCACCACACCTTGCTATAGCTGCGCTGGAAGGACATGCCTGAAATTGAGAGACGGAGAGGAAATCAGTAGTGTCCATCATTTAAATAAATTGGACTCATTCGTTTAACAGGCTTAAATTCATTAAATTTAATGCAATTGCCGCTTGGCTGGACTGGATTCATTGCCAATACACCCGGGTTATTCCGGGGTCATTCCTCCCGGAAAGAGTGGAGGGACGCAGAGACAGAGACGCACACACATGCCTGAACATTGGCGTAATATCCGTTACAAAAAAATTAAATTTCCGCCCAACCGATACAAATCATTATTTTAATCAATGAAATGCCGTATGCCGGAGCCAACCACCCACCCACTCCAATTTTAAATTTCAGCTCGACTCGAGTGATTTAAGGAGCTCCGAAAGTTGGAGGAGACTCGAGGCCATCAAAATGATATTTGGCATATGGCTGGCCAGGCGTCCAACTGTTCCACTGTATACATTACGGTGCAATAATTTCTAAATAATTGATGTGAATGCCCCAAATTGTGGGCATTTATGCAGATTTTACAGGCCAAATCTGTTGAGTTACAAGCATAAAGAAGGGGCGGTGGTCACCTGGCTGGATGCTGGAAATGCAAATGATTTGCTGGGGGGGCTTGGTAATGGTCATGGCAATGGGATTGGACTGAGAGTTGAACCCACAAAGCATTGACAAAGCATTCAGTGTGCGGCATCGGGGGTCTCTATTATGCAAATGGAATAAACTAATTATGCTGCAAAACAATTTTCGTGTGACATCGCAAACCAAACGAACTCGTGTTTTATTTTGTTTAATTTTGCGTGGTTTGTGCACTTTGCAGTTTACATATTTATTAAACTTTGTTTTTGCCATAATTACATAATATAGCATCCATATGCATGGGTGTATTTGCCTAGAAAAGGGACTTGTTGGCAGCACCTCGGCGAGAGAGTGTGCAACTATTTGTGTTATGCATGAGTGGGAAAGTTTATTTTGCATGCCCAGTGAACTCTGACCTCGCGCGCGCTTTCTCTTTCTATCACTCACTCTTTTTGCCCCACAAATGTGGCATTTGGTCAACTGCTGCCACTCTCTCCCTCGCACTCAGTGCAAATATTGACAAAGTGCTTGTTTCAAGTAAACAAAATGAAATAAATAAAGGACGAAATGAATTTTTTCTTCTGCATTTTTTCCCAACGGTCAACGAACGCACACATAAGCGCCGCACATGCATATTTATTGAATTCATTAAGCAATTAATTAAAATTATATTCAATTAGTACAAAAAGCACGGCAATAAAAACCAACAAATATTTGCTGCCCACTCAAAGTTTAATATGAAAAAAATTAAATATTTCTAACGCATTTCGTAATAATATCGTGTTTTTTGTTTAATTTTTATGTAATAACCATTATTTTTTACCTATAATAATGAGAGTCGACGATTAAAATGCTCATTATGTGATACTTTACTTACGTTATATAAAATATTTTAATATTAAAATTTCATTTGTTTGTAAAATAAGAAAAAATAGTCACAATTTTTATAATACTGCCTAAAAATAGAGAGACGGCAGAGAAACTGGCTGAAACAGGGCTTTGGGCAACACCGATCTATACTATCCTCACATTGAAATTGAATAATCTACTACGCTTAATTAATTTTTAACAATATAACATAGTTCACTTTTACAGACCATAATTTCTCCATTTAAGACCGCTCTCATATCCCCATTCCGCTTCCATATATCACTAAAGCCCCTTCGAAATCCCGAATCACGGGGTACACAAATGAAAATCACTGTCCCTGGGCCATGGGCTAATTAATGGAGAGCTCTGTTAGCTTCATGCCCACATTACAATTTCGAGAGCGCAAAATCCTTTTCTCTGGCACAATAAATATTGCACAATTGACGCTGGCGGCTGGCCGGAGAGGCTTAACAATGCTGCAAGGCGATAAAAATTAACGGTGCTTAATAGCAACATTGAAAATCATTAAGTGATTTATGGTCAGCCGCAGACAGAGCTCCAATAAGTGTCAGCGCTCGGACAGCCCCACGAAGGACACTGATCCGGCATGTAAAATGTATATACGTATATTTATTTATCATTTCGTTTATTTACATGAGCATCTTAGAATACGTAAACGCACTTTATAATACAGCAACATACATTTATATATATAAAGACAATAACTGAGTTCTCTCCTCGTCTTTTTCTCCCCGACCATCTCAATTTCGTCCAAGTAGTTCGATTCCCGTTCACAATGATTTCGTAATTTAAAACAAACTTCAGTTAAGGCCACACACACAGACACAAAAAAACAAAAAGAACAACCAAAAAACATGAAGCCAAATAATATTTATAAATTTTCCTAGGCTGTATGTGTGTGTTGGTGTGGGGGGCGTGGCTGGTTGGCAGTCAATTAGCACAGGCGCCACATAAATTTTAATATCGAATACGTATTCGTTTTTGGTTTTTGTGTTTAATCAAGATAAACGAGCTCGTTTTCAGTATTTTTTTTTTTCGTGATGGGAGAGTGGCCATTACACCTTACAAGCCCACATACCCGGCGGCTTTACATATATGCATCCCATGTACACCCAATGCCAGTCCCGCTTCCAGTCTCAACGCGGCAGGTCGTTGAGCACGAGCGTGGACGTGTAGCTGGGCCCCTGAATGTGAGCCGTTTTTGTGGTCGTCATCGTGGTGGTCGTCAACGTGACCTTGCCGTTGACATCTGCATGCACCTGCTCCGCCTCGCCCTCCGGCTGAGCGAGTATCTGCTCCACATAGCCCGTCGTCACCTGGACGCTATGGTGGGCGCGATTCAGCGGCGAACGGGAGCCACTCAATCCGGTCCCCGTCGACTCATCGTCGCTAAAGTCGCTGGTCAGGGCGCTGCCCGTCCGTACGGAGCTATCGTAGGAGTACTGGGTGTGATAGGTGCTGCTGGGCGGCTCCCCGCTGCCGCCCGTCGTGCTGCTACCACCTGCTGGGGCTCCTTCCATCTCGCCCTGGATGTTGTTGTTCGATTGGCTGTTGCCGTTTTGCTTTTGCTGACGCTGCAGCGTCGTGGTGGAGGCTGCGGTTATGTCCTCCTCGGAGATGTCGTCGAAGGCCGGCGGCGGTGTTGACATACCGGAGAGCATGGTCAGGACCGGTTGCCGTCCACCACCGGTCGGTGTGTTCAGGGAGGGCAGACGCGAGGCTGGTGAGCGCATCAGTTGCGTTGCTGACGTTTTGCGCTTGGAGGGGGAATGTTTCAGTGGAAATGTGGGCGTCTTCTTGAACACCTGCTTGGCCATGGCGTCTTGGAAGCGTTTGGCATAGAACGAGGGACGGCACACGGACACCGTGTCCCCGTTGTACAGGATGCTCTTGAAGGTGTGCTCCAGCTTCTTCTCCAAGCGATATGACTGCAGGATGTCGATAATGCCAATGTAAAGGATCAACCTTTCGTCATTTTCCGATCGCGCGGGTATACCGCCCGAGGGCACATCCTCGTCCTCCTCCAGAGGCATATCCATGTCGGCTGTAATCGATTCTAGAGCTGTGGAATGAGCCACCAAACGCTGACGATTCATACTGCGAGTGCGATTCAAGGCGGCTCCTCCCGTTCCAGCAGAAGTGCCCGGAATGGAGGCGTACGAGGCCACCGTATGGAGTTGATTTTGATCCGCCTCCGGGGCGTCGTCATCGGGGTTCAGGGATGATGGACCCTGGGCGGCGCTTTCCTTCCGCTGCAGCTTAGCCCGTGCGTTTAGGATGCGCTCCTCCCTCTTCTCCTTGGCGGCCAGGTCCAAATTGTGAATGCCCACCAGCAGCGAGTAGTCCATGATCTGAAAGCTTTCCAGAACCATGCAGTCCCGCTGAATGGTGCGCATCAGTGCATTGTACTTGTCCGTCTCCAGGAAAATGCCGTTCGGATGGTGCTCGGCAAAGTCGAGGTCCTTGAATGTGGGACTCGCCTTCTGGCGCTCCGCCTTGGAGGCCTTGCGGCGGAAGGACGAGCCCTTCAAATCGTACTTGGCGTGCATCTTGATGTCCGAGGGCAGCAGGTTGTTCATGGCCACCAGTCGCACGTTCTTTGAGTTGTAATGGAAGCAATAGAGTCCAAAGAACTTGGGCAGCAGGGTTCGGGGATTCTGCGAGAGGTTCATGTAATAGCCGGGCAGCAGTTTCTGCAGGAACTCGCACTCCTTTTTCTGCACCGTCTTGATGATGAACTCGTCGTCGTCCGTCAGGTAAAATATAGAGCCAGAAGCCCCCGGATTGGAGAGCTCTCGCAGCGGCGAGGCACACATGGACATGAGGAAGTCGTCGGGTGCGATTCCAAACAGATCCCGGAAGTAGCGAAAGGCAATGGGTGCGTACACCTTGAACCGGAAGTCGCTGTAGTGGTGAGCTGGCGTGATGGAGGAACCATCTGGCGGAAACGATATGGTCTCCATTTCCCAGAAGTCGTTCATCAGCAGATCCCTCTTTGGCTTGCTGGCCAGACTGCCCACCGTGTGCTGGATGCCCAGCTGTATGGAGCCCATTATCTGCTTGGACTGGATCTTCTTGTAGGTTACCTCACCTCCCTCGGCCACTCGCCGGTGGCCGATCTTTTTCTCATGCTTGCCCCCGGTGGTGGAGGGGTTTCGCGAAATACTGGCATCCAGCGTGGAGCTGGCACTACGAAGCCTGGAGACCGGTGTCTGGGTGGCAGCGATATTGTTCAGCTCGTGCTGCAGCAGCGCCGTGGACTCCTGGCCGCCGTGGGCCAGAGCAGCGTCCCTGAATAGCTGGCGGGATGTGCCCGGCTGCATGTTCATCGGGGGCGGCGTTCTGGGCGTCCGCGGCGTGCCCTCCAGCTCCTGAATGGAGTTGCCAGTTGGTGACTCCTTTGAGGAATCTTGGGGAATGATCTTAACGGGCGTAAGAAGGCTTTTTCGCTGCAGCTGGTATTCCTCAGCCTCTGGTGTTTTCTGGGGCTTTGTGTCATCCTGCTGCTGCTGCTGCTGCTGCTTCTCCTCCTCCTTGCCAACCGGCTGGAGCTCCAGCTCGACACGGGTGTCCATACTGCTCTCTGCGGAGGAGAAAACCACTTATTGCAGTGCCGCTCAAACTGTACAAAAGGCAACAACAGGCAACGCGTTCAATGGCAGCTCGAGTAATGCAAATTGGTGAGTGTTTTTCTGGATTTTGTTGTTATTCTTTTCAATGGGTGGATGAGTCAGTGTGAGATGGGGCTTGAGCCAATGAGCGAATGATTAAGCATTGGAGCAGCAGTTGGCACGTTCCGCCTTCTTTGCTCGACACTTTCGAGCTTTCGAGCAGCTGCTGCCCACTAGCAATTGTGTGGCTTATCTTTTGTTTGCGCAATGAAGAGCAGCTACAAAAACATCAACGACAACAACAACAACAGCGCCAAGGCAAACATTAAGCTTTTATCGAGAATAGTAATTAGCACACAGTAACTGCAAAACTGTGAAGCGGTTGACTCCCAAACCATAGGCAAGTGCATGCAAATTCAGGGGAAATCGCACGAAATCTCATGAAATCACTCATTACGAATTTCCGAAATGCAGGAGAGACAGGTAACAAAAACAGCCCAACCATAATTTCGATTGTTTGCATATGGGAATCCTAAATACCCGACAGACACGTTCGAATGCATAAACAAACGTTCAACAATACACACAGAAAAAAAAAGAGAATAACAAAATTTGTACACCTGAAATAATACAGTCCCCAGATCTGTTTAAATTACAGTTTTCTATAAAAATAATTGATTACACATATGCCTTGTTTGAGACGGATAAATAAATCGAATTGTTGCTTTAAATCAAGGGTGCCCAAGGCCGTCTGACTCACCTATTTGCAATTCTAGAGTAAATATTACTAATTAAAACAGTTTTTTTAAGGCTTTTCTATATAAAATTTATCTTATATCCCTTAGATACCAAATTTCTTCTCCACAAAACTATTCTATATTTTCTCTCTCTGCATCCAAAACGAATGGCAAACGGTTGCTGAAAACGCAAACAATTAAGGCCGAAATCCTCAAAATTATTATAGGAAAGTCATTATTTTTGCGTGTGTGTGTATTGTGGTATTATTTCGAAAAATGGAAAATGAAACCAAAACATGGTCATGGGCGTAGAATCAGAGCGGAAGGGGGCTGCACGGCGGGCGGAGGCCATTCAGCTGGCTCGTGTGTGTTTATTTTCGTAGATTGTCGCTCGGCGGATATAGCGTCGGCATCTCCTCTATATCTTTTCCCTCCTCGTGTCTTTTTTAATATTTGTCGCACGCATGACAGGCCAAATAATAATAATAAAAAAAAGTAGAGAAAAGCGAAAACAACAACAGCTAGTAGTGCTTTCGCAGCGGAAAGTTTTTCCCGAAAATATTCAGTGAATGAATATGAAATATGGGCGTCCTTTGGCCGATAAGCAATATAAACACCATGGATATCATGGATTAGTAATAGGTTGGCACTGCTAATGGGTCTATTAACCTTCCAAGAGTTAGTTCTCTGCTGCTGCTGATGTTGCTTTATCCGTTGTTGCGGGTTTTGCCTTGGGCAATTGTTAACGATGAGCTTGCCATTAAAACGTTTTGCCATTTTATTCGTGAATTAATTAGCGTACTTACACAGAGAAACACTCGAGATTCAAATTATGGCGCTCCCAAAGGTCAACTATCCAGCAACAAGTACATGGGCCCACTCTCTCTCGCTCTCTTTGTGTATCTGCTGCGGATCGAGGCGCGTTCGTCTCTCCCGCTCTCTCGCTTCCGTAGCTCAAGTCGCCGTTCCTCTTCCTTCGCTTTTATCGCTTTTCCTTCGATTTCCAGTTTCCAGCTCGGGGTTCAGTTGATAAATTGCTTTCATAATTTACAACAATCTCAACGAATTCTCTGTGAGCACCTTTAGTGTGGTTGTGTCGTTGTGTCGGTGTCTCGGCGCGTGTGTGTTTGTGACTGGCGATGACGTCGTCGTGCGGCAATCGTCTCGGAATTCCACTTCAAAGCGGTCTCATTTTCCCCGTATTTTCAGCCACCCCCGCTCGCGAAGAATGAGAAGAACAGTAGACGTTTCCGGACAGCAGCGGAATTTGTGGCCGCGTCTGTTTTGTTGTTGTTTTTGGTTTAAATAAACTCTGCGATTTGCAAATTATTTTATTTTCTACGCGATCAGAGTGACCGAAGTTTTGTGTCTGGGCGAATGCGATCAGTGTGACTGTGTTGTCTCAAAAGAATTTGGTACCGAAAATGCAGCCGTGAAAAAGGTGCAGAACATTGATGAAAAAGCGGTAGAAAGCGTATTTAAATTTCGTGATCACCGTTAAAAAACGTTAACTAATTAATATTCCAATCTGTAATATACACATTTTCCTTCAAATCGACCCGAAAAAAAGGGTGAACAGCTTTATAACAAATGGTAAGTCTTTCGCGCAGTGTGACCATTGCTGCGCCCTTGTAAAATACCATTATTTTATATTACGGAAAATAAGTTGTTGGCTTATTAAATGTTTTAAGAGACTTATTTTAACTTTAAGTAGCTTATTTAAGATCACAAATACCTCCAGAAGAGTATAAAATATAGTGAAATCTAATTGGTTCTAGTCTATGCTAGCAGGCTAACAAAATTTGTGATCGTCACGCAAGCCAACAGGTGGTGCTTTTGTCATTTGTAGCGCCATCTGTCGATTTGTTGACTTGTGTAGAATTTATGTAAAATGTTTAAAAAAATGGTGTATAAAAAATAATATATTTTTAAGACTGTAATTTAAGAAATTAATTTGATTTTTTTTTAACTCGTCAGTTTTTAAAGCTTTGAAGACTATATTTTCCGAATTTTTTTTTTAGTAATAGAAAATAAAATAAAATTAAATTAAAAAAAATAATTTGCCTTGACCTTTACCAATCTACCGATTTATCTTCACAATTCTGTCTTCTTGTTCAAAATTCAATTTTCCTTCACGAAAACAATGAGTTTCTTGATTGGAAAAGAAAAATACCCAGCAATTGTCGTTCTATTTCGGGATGAAAAGTGTCTGGATTTCGAGACGAAATATTAATTTAATTTTTCGCACGGGAAACCGCCTGACCGGCGAGAATCTAATTAGGAACACCTACAAAGGCGATTTCCCGGCCGGCGGCGTAATTCTAATTGGATTAGTAACTGAAGCCGGCGAAGGAACGTTTTCAGGACCCTGCCTCTGCCTCTGTCACTGCCCTTGACCCTGCGACTTTCCTTTTGTGGATTTTTTTTTTTTGCGGGTGCCTGTCTCATTACCACTTCCCCGCCCCGTTTGCCGCTTAAATTGATTGAAAAACCGCCCCTTAATCGATATTTATGGCCAGCCATGAGTAATTTTAATAGCCGCTTCCCCCTCTGCCCCTCATTAGTAGTAGGCAAGGCGAAATGTAAAAAATGTTTAGCTAACAATCCGGTTCGCAGCCGGAGCGGAGAAATACTAATGGCTGGGACGAGATGAGTAGGTACGCCTCATTACAAATGCCCAAGAGCAGCAACAAAGCCGGCCACAAATTGCACTTAATTGGGTGTGTTAAATAGTGTAAAAATTGATGTAAATTTAATTTCGAATAAGGATTGTTCGTGGCTGACGAGCCAAGTTCTAGCTTATTGGTTAATTAGGAACTAAGCCGAAAGCCAGGCGAAATTCATATGCAAATGCCGAATAGAGATGTCAGCAAACAAGTTTCGCGCCAAACCAAATGAAATACAAATTCTAAAATGTGCGACAATCTGCCAATTAATTTGGAATCCTAAAAAAAGAGTGGAACGCATAATTTATGCAGTCCAAAGACACTACAAAGCGAAAGACCACAACGGAACTCTACGCCATATCGCGTTGAAGACCCAACAAAAGCTGAGATAATGCTTCGTTATCAAAGGCATTTCATTTCGTAATAAAAACAGAAGAAAAAAATTAAAAAAAGAAATGTGAGAGAGCGAGGGAAGCGAATTGAATAATAAATTTATGTTCTGGTCAGCTTAAAAAGTGGCCATGTTGGCGAGTTAAAAATATTCATAAATATCGAAAATTGCATTGTAAAATTGCATTGAGAGCGGTGGCAGAAATTACACTGAAAATGTTAACTATCATAATTAAGTTAATATGCGGGGTGGTTATGTGTTAACTGAACTTGGCTCATTGGGGTCGTTGGCGAAATACGAGGCCAACCTGATGGGGGAAAGTGGGAAAGAGGGGGCCCGGCTTAATTAACCGAAAGTTAAGGCCCAATACGAGAATCAAAATCGATGGGAAAAGCGCAAAGGCAAAGCGCTCAATGATTAATCCGCCATCGACCGTAATCATTTTAATAGTTTTGACATTTAAGTGACAAATTAAAATGGAATAAATGCAAAATAAGCGTAATAAATTTTAATTGCCACCGCCCCATTGGCAGGCAGCTGTTGCATTGATTATAATGAAATTATTATTTATTTATTTGGCATCTTTTTGTTATTGCATAATTAATTGTTGTCGCTCGAGTGGCAAACAATTAAATAATAAATCAGTTTTTAAACAATCATTTAATTATGTAAAAAATGGCCCACTCTAGATGCATTGAAATGCCATTTAGCGAGTGCAATTATTCAAGCCGCACTTTGCTGATATTGTTCAATAGATTTTCGCCATTGTTGCAACCTGACACATCGAAAATAAACACAGAGTCGGTCGGCGGATTACAGAGCTCTTTCAATAGAATCCAAATAGAATCCCCTTTGCACTGCTGCTCCATTTACGGCGTTGTCTGACATTTCGCATCGGAGCGCTTCAATGGAAAATCAATAAACTAAGCCAAATTAAACATTAATCCCATTCAATTAGACAATCATCATTGCTTTGGCATTTCCCATCTAACGGTAGCCGCATATCGGAGATGCTGCCGTGTGTGCCGCACGAGTTTATGTATGTTGCCGCTGCTGCCATCGACACCAATTGTCATTGATATCGATCTCTTACTGGAGAGTGAGTGGCGGCGGCAACAGGTGACTGACTCCCGGACTGGTTTCTGGGCACATCGGACTTAATAACACCTCTCACGCTGACCGGTGTAATGGCCAGTGTTTAGCACTCTAATGGAGCAATCGCGGCCGCAGATCTCAAACCGCAGGGAACACACTCTCCCCGTCGTCTGGAACTAGATCAGTGCAATCAGTGTTCCCTTGATTATTGCAATTAGGTTTAAGGTGTACGGAAATTATGCGAATCTTCTTGTGGTGCCAAGTGAAGAATTTCGAAAATTCTTCGGCAGCTAATAGCAGTCTTTGATCTTTGGTTAAGAGGTATTATTATAATTTCGGGAAAGGGGTTCCAGGGAATGATTTAATTTTGTTGTAATGCAGGTAAAGTGCATGAACAAATTTTTTGGTATTATTTAATTATACAAAATCCTTAAAAAACATAAACTAGTATTTATTATGATTGGTTCTCAAAGAGTATAAATAAATAAATCCATTATTCCCATATCAAAAGAGTAATTTATTATTATTAATTTATAAAAGAGAACTTATCGCATACTTATTTATAAAAGCGTAGATAGGAATGTCAATACAGCTGCAAGCTATTTTTAATTCATTCTCAACTGCCTCGTTACGTCTAGTATATATGTATATCCACAGCACCCAAGCCCATATCATCCGTACTCCTTTACCTAACCCAATTATTGTTATGTCAAGCCAAGGCTTAGTCACCACCCCACACGAGCATTTCATTCACCATCAACCTGATCAGTCACCTTTGCCCACACCCCCAAATATAGTATATATCTCCCAGTTGTGTATCCACTCGGTATCCCCAAGCTCGTGCGTGACTCATCGGGGGATCTACGTTATAAAGAACATTCAGAGGAAAGCTGTTCGAAAAAAAACAACCAAGAAAACAATCATTACGCGGTCTGACGACTCTGGGACGCTCCTGAGTCATAAAACCAAGCTTAGCGGAGTCCTCGAAAATACAGAAATAAAAGCAATATTGCCGCATAGTTGGGTTATGAGTTCAATAAATGGGCGGCCCCGACATATAGTGTGTGTATTAAAGCGCGTGTAATTACAAGGGGCGTATGCGGAATCGTATTAAATATTTGTGTTTATTATTGATAAGCCTATTGGGGTCAAAGGGGCCCATAAACAGTTATGCGTCTGTTGGGCTGGCATCCCATATACGGCTTTTGGTGACCGAAACTTACCGTTTTCTTCTTGAACAAACAATGCCGAGGTAATCCCAAGTTTAGCCGCTGTTATTGTTGTCGGTTCCTCGGTTGTGGCCGCTGAATGATAGTAAAATTTATATTTCAAGCACGTGTCATTTGATTATTTTCGGTCACTTGGCACTTGGGGGCGTAGTGGGTGGCAGGGGGGTGGTGCACCCACGAGACAGAGTGTAAATAGTTTAACACTGCACAACGGTAAACGGAAAACACAGGCGACAAAAACGAAACACGTAAAACCCGAACGAAACTAACCCGAAGAAACTGGGCGAAGAGAGACTCGCGGCGATCGCGGTGTGTTGCGTCTGCGTTCTTCGAATGCTAACAAGCGAATGCGAGGCTATAGACTTCTGATTCCGAGGGAGGGAAATACCTTGGCCCGCAGCAAGAGAGAGAGACAGAGAGGGAGAGCAGAGAGCGAGTCACAGAGTCATATTACCTGGGTGAGTAAGGTGCACTGGAAGAAATTTAAATATCTTTGAAATTTTCCTTACAATTTTAAAATATTAGTCTTAAAAAATATATATATTTTATTACGGAACCGTTTGAAAAAAGAGTTATTTCTGTAATTCTAAAATATTACAAACTGTTTATCCCTTGATATTAGTAAAGTTAAAAAAGGTAGTCTTTATAATAGAGTTTTCTTAACAAAAAAAACTATATTTGTAGTAACCAATTTTTTTTTTCTGTGTATTGACAACACTATCAGCAGCTGCTCTCTCTCCAAACTGGCACTCTCTCTGACTCTCCCTCTCTCAGCATGTTTGTTTAATCATAATGTACATATGTACGCTTCGCATAATGCATCGCATTGTTCACATTGTCGCCTTCGTTGTTGTAGTAGTTGGTGGTGGTTTATGCTTTTGTTGCTATTTCGCTTTCTTATCACAGGCTCTCCCTCTGACCAGCTGTTCGGTAGCATTTCCAAAGGTGCGATGTGCGATCTCCCCTCTGCCTTACCTTTCCCGTACCTTCAGCGCATGCGCAGCTGCCTGTGATTTAGTTCCTTGATTGGACTCGCTTGTTCCTCCTCTGGCTGTGATTTAATGCTAATTTTTTGCGCCATTCCCGGGAGTTACTGACATTGTTTGCAGATTATTTTTAACCCTTAGGAATTTCCGTTTCGACATTTGTTTGCCCAACTTGCGCAAGTTTGTCCGCTCGGTCGGGGTGCCCTGATAAGATAACCGAAAGTATTGAAGGGCCAGTAAATATAGTAAATGTGGACTCATTCAAGATCGATCAGCGGCGATAAAACCTTAATATGGCACACATATTTTTGACTGTTGTAACGCGACAGCAATTAGGCAATTGAACAATTGCTGCAAACACTATTAAAGCGCTAAGAGATCGCCCACCTCTAAATAAAATACAAAAATTAAGAGCAGCCCACGGTGTGTGCTGTTTTTGTGCGCTGTTTTTTGCTATTGCCAATTTGTAGCAATTTCCAAATTGCGAAAGTAGTTAAAACTGTCGGGATGAGCTTGGTGGCATGGAGGAGGAGCTGGATAGCAGAGTAAGCAAATTAAAACCGAAAACAACTGCTGAGCGATGTGCACTGGGAAAAATAAGGAAGTGAAAAAATTATAAAAATAATACTGAAAAAAGTAAACCTATTAGAATAAAGTTGAACTGCCCCTCAATCTTTTTCCTGCTTCTAGTCTTTAGGTATAATTTTCTCTTTGAATCCAATAATAAAATAATTAAATAAATTATTAGATACTTAAATGGCATACCAAATACAACTGAAACAATTTGTTTCTTCTAATGTTCTCCTCTGACCCGAATCTTTCATATGCCACTTGAGGGTTTGAGTTACACAAGTTTCCATCGATTGTGGAACTTGCAAAAAACTGTCTTGTTGGCAGACATTTATTTATTTTATTTATTTATTGACAGCTAAGCTTAACTTTTTATTGATATGAAATGGCGTGACATTGACCCCGAGGCTTTTCACTGTGTGCAGCACACAGCAGCTCCACAAAAAGCGACAGTTTGAGGGGCCAAAAAGAAGTTCAGAGTGCACACGAAAGGAATTTCCCCCCATTTCGTTGTCAATGTAATTTGTCAGTTCAAAGACCCCGTGCGACACGAGGATTCCGTCGCCTGCCGTGCGCCGTATTTTGTGTACCATGTAACCGGGATGCACAAGGACCCGGATCCTACGTGCAAGATGTTTACATGGCGGTGCCGCTCTGACAAATGTGCCAAGTGTGCGGACGTGCGCCCAGCTCACAGAATATAGAGCCCAGATCCCGAGACGAGTGCAGCTACAAAAAATGTAATCAATGTATTTTTGTCACGTTAACGAAATGCACAAGGCTCACATCTCAGCTCAGCTCAGTCACAGCTGCCTCAAAATCTACACAGAGAAATAATTAGTTGGATTTCTTAAATACAATCTTTGGGCTAGGAACTTATCAGATAAAAAGTATCTGAAAGATACCTTAAAATCTCTTTATGTAGATTTCCCGTTCTTTAATAAGATATCCTGGAATTTGTATCCTTTTTCTCTCTGTGGCCTTCACTTCCTTCGTCACTGCTCTCCAAACATAAATTCTGTCTGTCTTTTAGTCTGTTTGTCGAGCTGCCTGAATTTGCACGGCACAGCAACAATAACAACTACTATTACAACTATAACTGCATCTGCAAGTACAAGTACATCCACAACTACAGATGACGGAGAAGAATGAGTCCAAATCCCAGGCAGCAGGAGCAGCAGCACAAAGGATTGTCAGGGAGAAATGTCACTTCGTTTGGCAGCAATTATCCCCAGAGCTGAATGAGCATTGACTGAGCCGGCGAATGAGCCTGCGAAGGATTCAGATCCTGTGCCTCCCGAATTCTAGACGGCAGCTGCCAGACTTTGGCGCGAGCTAGTCTGCAATTGCCTGACAGTGAGCTCTGGCTAAGGGTGGCAATTGCCGTGATTTGTCTGAAAAAGTAATAATCTTTCAACATTACCAAAAATATTCCATTTTACTCTTGAAAGGTAAGAAAGTGGGATACTTTTTACAACAAATCAAATGAATTCTCGATTTTTAAAATATTTTTACGTTAAATTTCCCTTGCCGGAATGCTCTTCATCTTTTTTAATAAATATCACTTAATTTTTATAAATTATTTACTGCCCATCGAGTACATACTGCAGTCATAACTGAGGACTGGCATGCCTTTGCTCAATCGCGCAAAGGACTCCCTTTTTCGCTGGCAGTGATGTGTGCCTTATGCCACGACTTCCTCCCCGAAAAAGCAGAGCCCAGAGCGAAGAAAACTTAAGTGCATTTTATGCCACTGCGAGTCGCGTCGTCTGCCAGCTGTCTGCACCCCCTGTGCATAGGTCTCGTCTCTCATTCCCTGGCAACCCTCGTGTGTAATTAAGTCGAGCATTATCGTTTGGAATGGAGCAGCGTTTTCGATATGCTGCATTGGTGAAATTTATGGGCCAGGCATTTGCTTTGCTAGCTATTTTTAGACAGAACTAATGGCAGTTCATAACCTTACCTATGCATATCACAGTTGGCTATCAAAGTGGGACAATGGAGTAAAAGAACTCTGGTTTCTGTAGGCTTCTTTGTGCACCATCGATGAGTAATTCCTCTTTGACTGTATATCCACTGTAATGTCAGTTAACTATCAGTATTATCTGAGGAATACCTAGGTAAGCACAGCAGATAAGTTGCTCAAACAAGGGGTGACGATTGCTTTTGATTAAGTTGACTGTAAGCCTCTCTTTGTATAGGGTTTTACTACGTTTTAGGTAACTTTGTTGTTATTAGTAGAATTGTATCAATAAGACTAACAGTGGAAGTCCATTGTAACTCAGATATGGCAAATCTGATAGCCACCAAACTCCCAGAGCCAAACCCGGAGACTCTCTGACTCCCGCATACCCAAATTCCAACTTCCAACTCCACCAGAGCGCCGGCTTAGCTTGGTCAGACTTTCGGCGGCATTTTTGCAGCATGAGTTCAAAGAGATATCTCTGAAGAGACTACATATAATGGACACTCTCTGGCGTCGTGAGTCACCCGCGAACTTTACGTGTGTCAGCGCCAGAAAGAGCTAAGGAGATCGCCAAGTGATTAACTGTCTGTATCTGACAGTCGCAGATTCACCTTTCGAAGTGCCGAGTTGGCGGAAATCGTAAATAAGGGAGCTGGAGAATATTCAATAGCCCGGATCGAAGCGGAAACCCGACGCCTTCGCAGGCGCCTCCGGTTGCACTTCGCGCTGCCTCAGCTTTTCCTGGGCTGCCTCCCTCCGCCTTATCGCCGCGACTGTGTCATCAGAAAGCCATATAAAGAGCATGCCGCAGCAGTAAAGAAAATAATTTAACGACGAGCGACGAGTGCCCAGCCAAGATAGAAGATAGAAGATAGCAACAAGTCGCTGGCAGCCCGCTTGTTTACCTTGAGTTAGTTGGCCGCAGCGGCGGAACCGCCAGCAGAAACTCTAAACTTACAGCTGCAGCTCTTATCAGGTGCCACAGTGCATTGACATTGTTTTGAGAGCGTAGCTGGAAAGCTCTTCAAAGTGGCCACACAAGCGGACAGAAAAGCTGTGCCCTGTGAAATTCGGAAGTTGCATTAACTTATTCCCCTGCAGAAATTGGGGGGAAAGGGGTTCGGCGGAGATAAGAAGGCAGTCTGTATTCAGAGGTTTTTCAGTTATCTTGTATTCACTCTTCAAAGCTCTTGGGTTTCGCAAAGGAAGGAAAAATAAAGTAGAAAAAATTCTCTAAATAAAGTATTTGGTTAAATGAAAGAGTAAACGGAAATTGTTCAAGTGCAAATGGATATTATACCTTTGAATTTAAATCAATTTAAGTTTTTATTGGGTGTTATATAAGATATGGGGTATATAATAGTAGAATGGTTGTAAATGAATTAGTGATTTGGAAACCCTCAGCAAAATATGTTTATTATTCAATGTGACCAATAAAAGGTATAATAAACACTTAAACCTTTCGATATAATTTTATTTTATTTTATGATATTTTTGAAGATAGCAACTTCCTATTAAGCCATGTTTATCGTCCGACTTAAACAACTTGTTTTTTAAGAATATTTGTTATTAATTTATA